AAAATATATATATTTTTTTAAAATAATAATAAACAAGAAACAAATAATAATTAAAAAGAATAATAAAAAAATAAATAAAAAATAAAAAATAAAAAAATAAACAATAAACATAAAATAAATAAATAAAAAGATTTTAAAGAAAAAAAAAAAAAATAAAAAAAATAAAAAAAATAAAAATAAAAATAAAAAGGAAGAGAAGAAAAATAGAAACTCTAATGCCAGGAAAGAGCAAAAACAAATAAAATAAATAAATAGAGATTGCAAATGCAGAGATTTATTTTCAATAGAAGTAATATAGTCCAGTCATTGGGATAGGAAAAAAAAAAAAAAAACTAACAAAAACAACACAAATCATGACGTCATCCGTCCGGTGTCGTCCCTTCGCGTAAGTAAACAAACTGTCATGTGACAAGTCTTACCGGGTAGAAGTTGGGGAAGCTTCATGACTGGAAATGAAACTTTCCGCATCGAGCAGATTGCTGAAAAGGTGTTGCTCGTTGTTGTTGTTGTTGCTGTTATGTATTTTATGTATTTTATCACAAGAAGAACACTGAACCGAATCAATAAAAACTTAGTGTCATATTTTGAAAACATCTATTACCTACGCTCGTCTCGTCCCAATCACGGACGCATCGTCGGCTGGTGTCCCACCATAGCTTCCGTCAGTTTCTCACACAGGTTTGTTGTGGCTGGTTCCACGTACACGATGCATTTCAAAGGCTGCAAAACATCCATTTCTGCCTCGGGAGACGAGGGAGGTGATCCACAGAAAGTCTCGCACGGCGTGTTTGTTGACATACCGCATAGTGATTTTCCCGGAAATGCTCGATAATACGCGTCTCCTATTGGCTGAGCAGTGACGGTTTACAACCTTTTTCGTCTCCTTACACGAAAAATAGTCCGGCGTAAGATTTCAAACTGTACAATAACTGCAAAAAATTGCACGGAAAACTTTTAGAGTGTTATCAGATACACTATAGTGAAGCTAAAACCAGTCTCGAAAAGTAGTGCCCAAGTTATGGAACGGAAATTGATTTCTAGCCACATATTTGGACTCAGCTGACGGCCTAATGTACCTTCAAAATGACCTCAGGGATTTTTGATCAGTGAAACATTGTTTGAGCAGCAGAGCGGCAAAATGTGACCTTTTTTTGGCCGTTTTTGACAACATTAAATTGGCTCCCGTTTGCACAAACAAAGTCTGATTTGCACAAAACTTTAATACATTGTTCAACTCTAGGGTCTAGGTCGTTTGAAAGTGAATTAATTCAAATTGACACATTAGCGCCCCCTACAGACTATTTCAAAGTTTTAAATGGGCATTTTCAAATTTAGTTTTTTCAAAATGTTTGAAATTTTGCACATAAATCTGTTTTGCCCTCTTGATTCAAAAAGTCAATTGGGTCCAAGGCTTATTTTTTACCCTGTTGCAGTGGCGACGACAAACGCTCCCCATTCATTGCAAATGTACACCTCACACAAACATCAAACCAGCCTCGGCCGTTTCACCGATTCGCCTCAAAATCGCTCCACATCATCTCAACACATGTACCATCAAAATGACTTCAGGGAATTTTGATCAGTGAAACGTTGTTCGAGAAGCAGAGCGCCAAAAAGTGGCGTATTTTTTTCAGTTTTTGACAATAGAAAAATTGTTTCCGTTTGCACAAACAAAGTGTGATTGGCACAAAACTTGAATCCATGGTTTAACTCTTGCGTCTAGGTCATTTGAAAGTTAAAATTTTGAAATTGGCTCTATAGCGCCACCTACAACAGCCAATTTAAAAATGCCTATGGGAGGGTTGCGAGGTCAAAATTAGAACCATGTAATTTAGAACACATGTTCCTCAAGTAAAGACATGGAAAAAAATTTATTATGGCTAAGCCCTCTGACAAACAGGAAGCCCACACATTTCATTGCAAAATGGAAAAATGAAAACCGATCATTTTCATACACGTCGGTTGGAAAGCGACTCCTCCTCGGCCGTTTCACCGATTGGCCTCAAAATTGTTCAAAATCATCTAAACACATTTACCTTCAAAATGACCTCAGGGAATTTTGATCAGTGAAAGGTTGTTTGAGCAGCGGAGCGGCAAAATGTGAGGGTTTTTTTGGCCGTTTTTGACAACATTAATTTTTTTCCCGTCTGCACATACAAAGTCTGATTTGCATTAAACTTGAATCCATTGTTCAACGACAGGGTTTAGGTCAGGTAAAAGTGAAATATTTGAAATTGACCGATTAGCGCCCCCTACAGACTGAAGCAAAGTTCCCATGGGGAGCCAAACCAGCTCTACTTATCATATTCATTACATTTTAACTAACATTCTTCTATGGCTACGGGAACAAATCATCACACGGCGGCGCCACCTCTTTTTGCGCGGTGCCGCGTGGTACGGTGTGGTGCGGCGTAGTGCGGGGCGTTGTGGAGCGGCGTGTTGCGGCTTGGTGCGGGGCGGTGTGGTGTAGGGAGGCGTGGTGCTGGGTGGCTCGTTGCGGGGCGGCGTGGCACGGGGTGGTGCGCGCGGAGCGGGGAGTGTGCAGGGACCAGTTACAAGGTGAGTGCCGGTTCGGACCATTTTCTCTGCTCTAGTCCAAAGTAAAAGGATGAATGCTTCTTTTCATTTTTTCAAAAAGTTAGCATTCCTCCGGTGGATTTTTGCCTGATCCGCTTGGTTCGGACCATGAATCCTCTGGACCAGTGCCAAACCATGAGCACTGCAACAACATATCAGATAGAAAAAAGCAATAAAAATCAAAATTTGCAAAGCACAAAACAACAACCAATTCAGAGCTACTTAGGACTTGCTGCCGTTTTCAGCGTATTCAAAAGTAAAGTTAGTTTAGTTTGACAAAGGCAACTTTTCTTCTATAAACTCTGCTCTATTCAATCCAGACTCTTGATATATCTTTAAGGAGCCACAGTTTTACTATAGGATATGTTTTTAACGTCCAAATATTATTAGAATAATCTTGAAAGCGTCTGCAATAAAGAAAAAGAAAAAAATGGGATGAGCCTTAGGACCCGTTTATACAGAGGCACTGCGCAGACATTGCCAAGCTATTAACAGAAACGACTAGGCTCCTAATGCAAATTTCTAAGCATTCATACGAGGATCAAAAACGATGTATTTCTAGTACCCGGCCAGTAGTGGGCAGAGGAACTTTACAACACGACACACGCTCCCCCTAGCGGTATACTCACTTCCTGTGCAAGACGTGAAAGAATGCACCAACATCATTCTGCAGTTTAACAGCAGCTGCGAAACTGAAACTAGAATTTCGCGTGGTCTCGTTTGGACGAACAAAGGGATAGAACTCTCCTCCGTGTAGCACTCGAAGCACACATAGCTAGTTAGTGTACCCGCCGCCATTGTTGTTTTCTTTTGTTCTCAGCAACTGCCCATGTCCAAATTTACAAGCGGGGAGCAGGGGGGAGGTGGGGGTCCGATCAGGCAAAGAATTCACACCTTTTTCCTTCATGCAGGTGTGAAAGAGCTCCCCGCTGAGCAGCGTACCTGAGCTGTCCCACTCTGTAGGCTGGATCTCTCATGTTTTCACCTCCCTGAAACAGTCTCCGTATGAACCTGCATCCAACTAAAGCGTTCCTACATCCAACTATAGCGTTTTACTGCCGCATTGTCTCCGTATAAACGGGGCCTTATACTCATCCCATGTATGTTACACCTTTTGACGTTAAAGACCTTATGCCGGGTTTGATTTATTTAGAAATACAGTTTTAATACCATTTTATATTAGAAGAGAACTACTAAAGGTTTCAAAATCAGTTGTTGTTTTTTTGTCTGATCCCCCCAAATCGAAATAACCCCATAGCAACGCCCTTAGAGACAAAAAAACTTCACAGCCCTTGGTGACGTCAGAGTGGGTACGTTTCAACGCTGTAAGTTGTTTACAATTTGGTATTCGTTCTTTTTTCGCGGATATTCAAGATGACAAGGCCGTGTACAGCGGGTCTGAATTTATTACTAGATTGCAACCCTTCGTTGGCACTGAGATAGTCCAGTGGTTGTGTTGATGCACTGCCAATCCAGACACTGGGGTTCAAATCCCACCTCAGACACATTTTCACTCTCAAAAAGGCAATTTATGTGTAGTGAGCAATTGTCACCTGTAGAGTGCAGTATTGTGTTGGGCATCAGTGCAGAGAAGAGAGAAAAGGCAGTCCTGTGGCATAGATCCATGGTTTTCAATGCATGGGCGTTACCCGCTATGACGTCACACACAGGTTAGAGCATAGACAACTTAAATTCATAAAAAACACGTTCTTTTTATAAAATATAGGAATTTTTTTGCCGGAATCTATTTCAGATCGACATTGTCATGCAATTTTGATATCCACATTGTTTTTTTTTTTTTAAACCCGGCATAAGGTCTTTAATGTTAGCTAGTTCCTGTTGTTGTTAATGTTAGCTACTTACTGTTGACGTCAATGTCCCTGTTCCTATAGCTATATATCCTGTAGCTATATATCACAATAGCTACTTCCAGTTGACGTTAATGTTAGCTAGTTCCCGTTGGCGTTAATGTTAGCTAGTTCCCGTTGGCGTTAATGTTAGATAATTCCCCCAATAAGAAATACAAAGATACTTTTATGACACATACCTCTTTGAATCGTTGGGAATTAATCAGAATCAGAATCAGAATCAGAATCAGAATCATTTTTATTGCCAACGTAAGTAACGGGAGGTCACAGACTTGGAAATTGCTTTGGCTCAGTGCAACAGTCAAAAAGAGATAATAAAAATAAGAATAAAAAACACTTCTAAAGAATAAATTTAAATTTAAAATAGAGTTACAGTTACTATTTACAATATACAAGTGCACATGGTGCACACAATGTAAGGTGACAGCAGTACAGTGAAGTAAAGTGACGTATGATGGGCAGTAAAGTGACTTTATAAAGGGCGGGGGGACAGGTTAAGAAGTGTTCAAGAGTCCAACAGCAGAGGGGAAGAAACTGTTCTTGTGGCGGGAGGTTCTAGTCCTGATGGACCGCAGCCTCCTGCCTGAGGGGAGTGGTTGGAATAGTCCATGTGCAGGGTGAGAGGGGTCGGCTGTGATACGACCAGCCCGGCCTCGAGCTCGGGCGACGTACAGGTCCTGCAGCGATGGAAGGCTGCGGCCGATCACTTCCTCTGCAGAGCGCACAATGCGCTGTAGTCTCTGTTTGTCCCTGACTGTGGCTCCAGCGAACCACACGGTGATGGAGGAGGTGAGGATGGACTCGATGATGGCCGTGTAGAACTGCACCAACATCTGTGCAGGCAGCTTGGCTTTCCTGAGCTGCCGCAGGAAGTACATCCTCTGCTGGGCCTTCTTGATGAGGGAGCTGATGGTCGGCTCCCACTTGAGGTCCTGGGTGATGGTGGTGCCCAGGAAACGGAAGGACTCCACAGAGGTGATGGGGGAGTCCATCACGGAGGGTGGGGGCGGGGGGACAGTGCTCTTCCTGAAGTCCACAATCATCTCCACTGTCTTCTGGGCGTTCAGCTCCAGGTTGTTACCACTGCACCAGGACACCAGCCGGTCCACCTCCCTCCTGTAGGCGGACTCATCGTTGTTGGAGATGAGTCCAATGAGGGTGGTGTCGTCCGCGAACTTGATCAGCTTCACGGAGTCGTGGCTGGAGGTGCAGTGGTTGGTGTACAGGGAGAAGAGCAGGGGAGAAAGAACACAGCCCTGTGGGGCTCCTGTATTTATAATCCGAGAGTCCGAGACATTCTTCCCCAGACGCACTCGCTGCTTCCTGTCCGTCAGGAAGTCAGTGATCCACCTGCAGGTGGAATCGGGCACGTTGAGCTGGGAGAGCTTGTCCTGGAGCAGGGATGGCAGGATTGTGTTGAAGGCAGAGCTGAAGTCCACGAACAGGACCCTGGCGTAGGTCCCCGGGGAGTCCAGGTGCTGTAGGATGTGGTGGAGGGCCAGGTTAATGGCGTCGTCTACAGATCTGTTGGCTCTGTAGGCGAACTGCAGGGGGTCCAGGAGGGGGGAGGTGAGGGACTTGAGATGGGAGAGAACCAGGCGTTCAAATGACTTCATGACGACAGACGTAAGTGCTACAGGTCTGTAGTCATTGAGTCCTGTGATCCTGGGCTTCTTCGGGACGGGGACAATGATGGAGGATTTGAAGCAGGCCGGGACATGGCAGGACTGCAGAGAGGAGTTGAAAATGTCCGTGAACACAGGAGTAAGCTCACTGGCGCAGTGTCTCAGAGTGGCCGGAGACACGTGGTCCGGGCCAGGAGCTTTGCGGGGGTGCAGCCTCAGGAAGAGTTGTTTAATCTCTTTAGCGGCTATTGTTAGGCTGGGGGCAGGGCTGATGGGTGGGTCGTTAGAGTAGTGGGGGGTGGGGGAGGGAGAGGTGTCAGGGGCAGCATCAAAGCGACTGAAAAATAAGTTCAGATCGTCAGCTAGCTTGTGGTCATCAGCACAGGGGGGGGCTTTGGGTTTGTAGTTGGTGATCTCCCGTAGGCCCCTCCAGACAGAAGCAGTATCGTTGTTACCAAACTGCTCCTGTAGTCGTTCTCTGTGCCGGGACTTGGCTGCTTTCAGTTCTTTCCTGAACTGATATTTAGCTGCTTTGTAGCCGCTGCGGTCCCCCTCCCTGAAAGCAGACTCCTTTGCTTTCCTGAGCTGCCGGAGTTTAGCAGTGAACCAGGGTTTGTCGTTGTTATAGATGACCCTGGTCCTTGTTGGAATGATGCTATCCTCACAGAAGTGGATGTATGACGTCACAGTGTCCGTATATTCATCCAAGCTGTCTGTGGCAGCTCTGAAAAGGTCCCAGTCTGTAGATTCCATGCATGCGCGCAGCTCTTCCACAGCTTCATCAGACCACACTTTGGAGCTCCTCACTGCAGGTTTCGAGAGCTTTAGTCTCTGTCTGTAAGCAGGAACCAGATGTATCATGGAGTGATCTGAGAAGCCGAGGGCTGGCTTGGGAACAGCGCGAAAAGCTCCGCGCACGGTGGTGTAACAGTGATCCAGAGTGTTCTCCTCTCTGGTCGGGCATTTGATAAACTGTCTGTATTTGGGTAATTCCTGGCTCAAGTTTCCCTTATTAAAATCCCCCAGGATAATAATCAGAGAGTCCGGGTATAAGCGTTCCATACACAGTACTTGCTCTGCGAGTGCGCGCTGAGCCTCGCGCGCGTCCGCGCATGGCGGTATGTAAACAGAGGCAAGAATGAATGAAACAATTTCCCGCGGGGAGTAATATGGTTTACAATGAATGAAAAGATATTCCAGAGCAGGAGAGCAGTGCTTGGAGATCACTGTCACATCGTTACACCAGTTTGTATTGACGTAGAAACAGAGCCCTCCGCCTCTGCTCTTCCCTGAGAGCGCACAATGGCGATCCGCGCGCGAAACAGCCCAAAGCCCTGCAGCTCCAGAGCGCAGTCCGGGATCCGCTCATTTAGCCAGGTCTCAGTGAAGCAGAGGACACAGGATGTGGCGAAGTCCTTGTTTCTTCTCATGAGCAGGCTGAGTTCGTCCATCTTATTGCCCAGTGAGCGTACGTTGGAGAGAAAAATGCCGGGGAGAGCCGTGCGCGCTCCTCTCCTCCTAAGACGCACGAGCAGGCCTCCGCGCTTTCCCCTTTTACGGGCCCACACTTTTTTGGCTAGAACATGAACTAAATCAGCCGCAGATGCCAAGAAAACAGGCAATAGGTCCAAATGCTGTTGGTTAGTTGTACATTGGCTGCAGTGGATGTAGAGCACTGTTTTTGTTATTTCCAGTTATTTTCAGACATAATGTTTGTGCTGTATACTCAGAGCCGGCGCTTCCTATACGCAGACTACGCAGTATGAGTAGGTCCCATAGACTGTATATATTAACGGACAGAGTCACGCCTATCTCCGCCGTTCTAACTAATGGGCCAAAAAATTTGCTCTACTGGAGCTATTCAAAATGGCCGCGAGCAAGCATGTCAGCGCACATCATTTTGGCCACTTTTGAGCTGGGACCCGCCCCCACTGGTAGGTCCCCGCAGCGGGAAGGGCCCCGGAGTGCGGACTCTTCTTTTTTTTTGTCATCTCGCTCCCTCGTGCAGTTACATTCATTGGTTGTTTAAGTTATCACTTGCTGTCTCCCATGATCCTTATACGTTGCGTCCTTACGTCACACTTTAAACTCTCCCCTCCCTCCACCTTGCTGTTGTCAGTTGCGCAGCCACGAGCAGAGGCTGAGACGCTATGAAGCGGAGTGATGAAAAAGGAAAAAAAGACAGCGAACTGCGGGAACAACAGGCGGGTAAAAAAACGTGTGGTTGCCGACCCAACGCATTGACCGTCTGCAAAGAAAGTTCAAAATTGTGTCTGACATGTTAAAATTCTGTTTTTAACGAGTCCCAAAACAACTTAATCAGTCAAGCTCTTTGTTGTGGTTAAGGTGGACACCTTCAAAATAAACGTGCTTCCTTTAGTAATCGGAAGTATTTTGTTATTTTTGTAATTTAGACATAATACTAACAGCGTTAGCATAATTCACTACTAATATTAATATTAAGGTAATATATTAATACTAGTGGTGATAATAATAATAGTTATTATTTATATTTTATATAGAATATTAAGCTAAAGGCGCAGCTTCAGACTGAAAGACCGAGTGCAAATTCCCCTTTCCAAGCCTGCAAAGCACACAGCTCTGCCAGCCAATCACACAGCTCTGCCATTCTTAAGCCTCAGCCAATCACACAGCCCGGCCAGCCTCCTGCCAACCCTCTCACAGCAAAGCGGGCAGTTTAAAATGCTGCCACTTCCTGACAAGCAACGCTTCCTGAGGCTCTTAAACACCCACCACCTCCCCAGTACCTCCTCTGGCTCCCGCTCTGGCTCCCGCTCTGGCTCCCGCTCTGGCTCCCGCTCTGGCTCCCACTCTGGCTCCCGCTCTGGCTCCTGCTCTGGCTACGCCCCATTCACACCATATTCTAGCCACCACCAGTGCTTGGCCCCGGGGGGATCTGAGATCATCTTCAGCTGCAATCGATCTCATAGCTGCAAGTGTCAATGCCGGGGTCAATGCGCCAAACAAATACATAATTTTATTGCATTAATTGTGTCTATGGTCTCTTCAGATTGAAATATATTTATATATCACTAATATTTGTATTTAATTTATTTTTGTATTTTAACATGTTTGCACACTTCTGTCTTTTGCACAAATCTGAGTGATTCTATCCATGCCAAATGTGACATGTAAATTTCTCCTGTGTGAGATCATTTAAGTCTATCTTATATCTTATCTTTTATGGTGTTTGAAAAGTTCAAATGTTATTTTATCTTGCGTTTAATCAATCACTAATCAATTCTTATATTTCTTGATTAGTGTGAATTATTTATTTGTAATATGTATATGTAATGGAACGTCTGCTTGCACTAATTTTTATCCATTCATCCATTTTCTTCCCCTTAATCCATTTCTGGGTCGGGGGGTGGCAGTCAGAGCTGCACCCAGTACACATAGCACCAGCCCCTCACTGATCCTCCTGCAGGTGGTGAGTCCACAGGAGCTGAGATCTTTCAGCGGGGGCTTCAGGCAAAGTAGGGTTAAGTGTCTTGCCCAAGGACACAACGACAGCAGTCATCAGTGGCAGTCGTGAAGTAGGTCTCATGGTGGGCTCGAACCCACGACCTTCAGGCCCAAAGGCCAATGCTTTACCAGCTGAGCTACTGTCGCCCCAATTTTTTTTTTTTTTATGGTTTCTTGAATTAGGTGTAGGGCCCCTATGCTGACTTCTGCTTAGGGTTCCAACAAGGCAAGCACCAGCTCTGTATACTGTATGTATATGCTATGAGATGAGTCTGATATGACTCATGTTAGTGTTCTGTGAATAACACATCCATTAATCAATCTTTATCTGTAGAGTGCTTTTCCAACACAAGACATACATCTTCACATAAAACATACACCAAAATCACAATTAAAATCACAGAGGTAATTAAAACTTTTATAACATTTAAATCATACAAGGGACTATAATAATAAATAACCACAGTGTATTAAAAAGAGTAAAGATACAATCCTTCAGTTGTATGGACAGGCAAAAAGAACGATCTTTAACCTGAATTTGAACATTGTCAGAGAGGAAGTTTGTCTCACATTTTCAAGAAGACTGTTTCAGATTTTAGCTGCCCTCCCATGTTTTAGTCCTGACCCGGGGGACCAGCAGTAAACCAGCCCCTGTGCTCCTCAGAGTCCGAGTTGGTTCATATGGCACTAACATGTCTGGGATGTACTTTGGAGCAAGGCCATGGAGTGACTTGCACACAAGCAGAGCTGCTTTAAACTCTAATATCTGAGCCACAGGAAGCCAGTGCAGGGACCTGAGAACTGGACTAATATGATTGTATTTCCTTGTTCTTGTCAGGACTCGAGCTGTAGAATTTTGGACATACTGCAGCTGTTTTAAGCTTGTTTTGAGAGACCAGTGAGCAGTCGCTACAGTAGTCTAACGTACAAAAGCAAGGATAAGAATCCCCATATTTTTCAGATGGTAAAAAGCTGCTGGTGTTACTGATTTGATGTAGCTAGCTAATCTTATTGAAATGTAAATCCGAGTTCATTATGAATCATGAAACTGAGGTCCACTGGTTAGTGCAATGGTAAATGCTCTGACTCTGGTCCTCTTTTAGCTGTTTTCTCAGATCAGAGACATAAAACAGGCACGCAACCAGACGGATGAACCACATACACACGCACGCGTGTGCACACACACAGATACACGCAAGTGCGAGTAGGCCAAATACTGCAGTCTTTTTTTTCTTTCTTTTTTTACCGTGGTCTGAATCACAGAGCTGTCACAGAGTCACGCACATTAACGTCACACATGCATTCGCGCACATGATACACAATAACCACGGGCCCCACACACAAGGACACAGTACAAATACGCACACATGCACACACACACACACGAGGACACACACCAGGGCCAGGTGCTGCGGTCTTCTTACTCTGAGCTCGGCCGTCTTGCTGACCACCCTCTCGTCCATCTCCAGTGGCTCCGGGCCGCGGGGTGAGGAGCTCCAGCACAGCAGACACGAATGCTTGAGGAGTGAGGCCAGGCTGGCGTGCTCCTTACACCCAACGTCCCCGGGCTTGTCGGGCCGGTCCTGCAGCTCCATGGCTCTGGGGTAGAGGATGGAGGCTGTTTCTGCCGTGATGGGGGACTGCAGAGGGGCGGGACAAGAGCTGGGCGACTGGGCCAATCAGTGCGCGAGGAGGCGGTGACGTGTGGATGAGTACAGGCATAAGTAGAACACGCATACAGCGGCATGGCTCTCATACACGTTCAGAAGCTTTTTGTTTGGATACACACAGAGCTGGTGCTTGCCATATTGGGGTCCTAAGCAGAAGTCAGCATAGGGGCCCTACACCTAATTCAAGAAACCATAAAAATTAAAGCAAGCAGACGTTCCATTACACATATATATCACAAATAAATTATTCACGCTAATCAAGCAATATAAGAATTGATTAGTGATTGATTCAACACAAGATCAAATAACATTTGAACTTTTCACACACGATAAAAGATAAGATATGATAAGATAGACTTTATTGATCTCACACAGGAGAAATTTACATTTCACATTTGGCATGGATAGAATTACTCAGATTTGTGCAAAAGACAGAAGTGTGAATGTTAATTTACAAAAATAAACAAAATACAAATATTAGTAATATATACAAATATATATTTTATATAAAATATAAATAATAACTAGTGTCAGTATTATCACCAGTAGTATTAATATATTACCTTAAAGGCCCTACGCATACTGCGTAGTCTGCGTATAGGAAGCGCCGGCTCTGGAAACACCCGGCCCTTACTCCGGACTCACAACCTGCAGGAGGATCAGTGAGGGACTTGTGATCTGTTAATTTTGGTGAAGCTCTGACTGCAGCCCCCACGACCCAAAAATGGATAAGGAGACAAAGAAGAAGAAAAAGAAGACTCCATATTGCTTGAAAATTATCTCCAACTTTCTCCTCTAACCTTTCATATGTCTGTGTTTGCAGTTCCCTCCAGTGGCAGCATAGGGAGTTTCAGGGAATTAGGCCCGAGCCCCGAACGGGGTAAGGGCCTATTGCTTTCACAATGGTGAAAACAAATGGTGGCGGTGCGTGACGGACGCGTCAGCGCCCGTCACTCACCAAAACGTGACGGTTGCATGCGTAAACTCAAACGCATTAAAATTATGTATCAGGTGCCATTGAAACCTATATTGTTTTTGCTCGAGACGTAAAAAAAAAAAAAACCTTTTTTATTTATTAGGCCCGAGCCCCGAACGGGGTAAGGGCCTATTGCTTTCACAATGGTGAAAACAAATGGTGGCGGTGCGTGACGGACACGTCAGCGCCCGTCACTTACCAAAACGTGACAGTTGCGTGCGTAAACTCAAACACTTTAAAATGATGTATAACGTGCCATTGAAACCTATATTGTTTTTGCTCGAGACAAGTCAAAAAACATTCCTTTTTTATTTATTCATTAGGCCCGAGCCCCGAACGGGGTAAGGGTCTATTGCTTTCACAATGGTGAAAACAAATGGTGGCGGTGCGTGACGGACGCGTCAGCGCCAGTCACTCACCAAAACGTGACGCTTGCGTGCGTAAACTCAAAAGCTTTAAAATGATGTATCACGTGCCATTGAAACCTATATTGTTTTTGCTCGAGACGTCAAAAAAAAAAATCCTTTTTTATTAGGCCCGAGCCCCGAACGGGGTAAGGGCCTATTGCTTTCACAATGGGGAAAACAAATGGTGGCGGTGCGTGACGGACGCGTCAGCGCCCGTCACTCACCAAAACGTGACGGTTGCGTGCGTAAACTCAAAAGCTTTAAAATGATGTATCAGGTGCCATTGAAACCTATATTGTTTTTGCTCGAGACGTTTAAAAAAAAAATCCTTTTTAGGCCCGAGCCCCGAACGGGGTAAGGGCCTATTGCTTTCACAATGGTGAAAACAAATGGTGGCGGTGCGTGACGGACGCGTCAGCGCCCGTCACTCACCAAAACGTGACGGTTGCGTGCGTAAACTCAAAAGCTTTAAAATGATGTATCAGGTGCCATTGAAACCTTTTTTTTTTTTTGCTCGAGACGTTAAAAAAAAAAATCCTTTTTTATTAGGCCCGAGCCCCGAACGGGGTAAGGGCCTATTGCTTTCACAATGGTGAAAACAAATGGTGGCGGTGCGTGACGGACGCATCAGCGCCCGTCACTCACCAAAATGTGACAAACTCAAACACTTTAAAATGATGTATCACGTGCCATTGAAACCTATATTGTTTTTGCTCGAGACGTTGAAAAAAAAATTCCTTTTTAGGCCCGAGCCCCGAACGGGGTAAGGGCCTATTGCTTTCACAATGGGGAAAACAAATGGTGGCGGTGCGTGACGGACGCGTCAGCGCCCGTCACTCACCAAAATGTGACGGTTGCGTGCGTAAACTCAAACGCTTTAAAATGATGTATCACGTGCCATTAAAACCTATATTGTTTTTGCTCAAGACGTTAAAAAAAAATTCCTTTTTTAGGCCCGAGCCCCGAACGGGGTAAGGGCCTATTGCTTTCACAATGGTGAAAACAAATGGTGGCGGTGCGTGACGGACGCGTCAGCGCCCGTCACTCACCAAAACGTGACGGTTGCGTGCGTAAACTCAAAAGCTTTAAAATGATGTATCAGGTGCCATTGAAACCTTTTTTTTTTTTGCTCGAGACGTTAAAAAAAAAAAATCCTTTTTTATTAGGCCCGAGCCCCGAACGGGGTAAGGGCCTATTGCTTTCACAATGGTGAAAACAAATGGTGGCGGTGCGTGACGGACGCGTCAGCGCCCGTCACTCACCAAAACGTGACGGTTGCGTGCGTAAACTCAAACACTTTAAAATGATGTATCACGTGCCATTGAAACCTATATTGTTTTTGCTCGAGACGTTGAAAAAAAAAATTCCTTTTTAGGCCCGAGCCCCGAACGGGGTAAGGGCCTATTGCTTTCACAATGGTGAAAACAAATGGTGGCGGTGCGTGACGGACGCGTCAGCGCCCGTCACTCACCAAAACGTGACGGTTGCGTGCGTAAACTCAAAAGCTTTAAAATGATGTATCAGGTGCCATTGAAACCTTTTTTTTTTTTTGCTCGAGACGTTAAAAAAAAAAATCCTTTTTTATTAGGCCCGAGCCCCGAACGGGGTAAGGGCCTATTGCTTTCACAATGGTGAAAACAAATGGTGGCGGTGCGTGACGGACGCGTCAGCGCCCGTCACTCACCAAAACGTGACGGTTGCGTGCGTAAACTCAAACACTTTAAAATGATGTATCACGTGCCATTGAAACCTATATTGTTTTTGCTCAAGACGTAGAAAAAAAAAATTCCTTTATTAGGCCCGAGCCCCGAACGGGGTAAGGGCCTATTGCTTTCACAATGGTGAAAACAAATGGTGGCGGTGCGTGACGGACGCGTCAGCGCCCGTCACTCACCAAAACGTGACAGTTGCGTGCGTAAACTCAAACACTTTAAAATGATGTATCAGGTGCCATTGAAACCTATATTGTTTTTGCTCGAGACGTTAAAAAAAAAATTCCTTTTTTATTAGGCCCGAGCCCCGAACGGGGTAAGGGCCTATTGCTTTCACAATGGTGAAAACAAATGGTGGCGGTGCGTGACGGACGCGTCAGCGCCCGTCACTCACCAAAACGTGACAGTTGCGTGCGTAAACTCAAACGCTTTAAAATGATGTATCACATGCCATTGAAACCTATATTGTTTTTGCTCGAGACGTTAAAAAAAAAATTCCTTTTTTAGGCCCGAGCCCCGAACGGGGTAAGGGCCTATTGCTTTCACAATGGTGAAAACAAATGGTGGCGGTGCGTGACGGACGCGTCAGCGCCCGTCACTCACCAAAATGTGACGGTTGCGTGCGTAAACTCAAAAGCTTTAAAATGATGTATCAGGTGCCATTGAAACCTATATTGTTTTTGCTCGAGACGTTAGGCCCGAGCCCCGAACGGGGTAAGGGCCTATTGCTTTCACAATGGTGAAAAAAAATGGTGGCGGTGCGTGACGGACGCGTCAGCGCCCGTCACTCACCAAAACGTGACAGTTGCGTGCGTAAACTCAAACACTTTAAAATGATGTATCATGTGCCATTGAAACCTATATTGTTTTTGCTTGAGACGTCAAAAAAAAAAATCCTTTTTTATTTATTTATTAGGCCCGAGCCCCCGAACGGGGTAAGGGCCTATTGCTTTCACAATGGTGAAAACAAATGGTGGCGGTGCGTGACGGACGTGTCAGCGCCCGTGACACACCAAAACGTGACGGTTGCGTGCGTAAACTCAAACACTTTAAAATGATGTATCAGGTGCCATTGAAACCTACAGTAGGTCCCATTCCGTTTTGTCGCCTTTCACGCGTGAATCACACGAGACTCACGTGTGATTCACGCGTCTTTTATTTTCCCCCCTCCCAGTGACGTTGCAATGACCAAAACAACCACCAGGTGGCACTTGTGAGCAGGGTTACATTGGCGTCTCATCGCTCTTTCTTCTCTCTTCACTAGGAGAGAGGCTTTAAGCCTAGCGTACTGTACATCGGACTTATATTCGTCGCCTATGAGTTTCTGCCCCGCGCACATCGACAATCTGGTTAAAACGGGCAACTCCTTGTAGCAGGCCAGTCTCTGGAATAACCCGCAGACATTAAAACTACTGCATATAACGTAAACTTTTGCATCACGTTGGTGATCTTTCCAAAAAGAGAGAATATCGTTATGGAAAGAGAAACTATTGGTAATATAACGCTGAACGTTATCTGACTCAAACAGCTCCGCTGGTGTCTCCTCCCACTCAGAAAAAAAGCAGACGCCTTTTCTCTGGCATCTCTAACATTTATAATAAATACATAAATATAACAAGAAGATGCTTTCGAAATAATAATTTAGCAAGCTGTAATTCATTTATTTTAACTCCCTGCCAAACTACGCGCGATTGCAAATGTTACCACAAGGGACTTCCCAGACCGTGCTTCACATATTATTATATTATATAGGGATCAGGAGATTTCTTTCGTTCCTGACCCACCCTCCCGCACCTGACATGACTCAATATTTTTTGAGGCAATCCAACG